AAAAAAAAAAAAGAATGGTTACTTATATTTGAAAGTAGATGTTCAGTTATTAACAAAGATTTTAATTTTTTGCCTTGCTTTGTCTAACAATACATGTCGTTACCCTGGTTGGATTGGATGGTAACCCACACAACACTGATAACAATTCCAGAGAGGGCAGAATTGACTATGAATTTGACATTCGGCATCCGGTCTTCCAAGGGCAGTGGCCAGAACTGAGGTTGAACAGCATAGGCAGACCTTGTTTGGTGTGTTCCCACTAATAACGTTCTGAATTTCCTTTAGTTGGAGAATAAGTGCAAGTGAAGCTCTCAAGCACCCTTGGTTGTCAGACCACAAGCTCCACTCCAGACTCAACGCACAGGTGACTAAAGCTCCTTTGTCTTTCTTCTTCTTTTCAAGTTAGCCTCAGTCTTTTGGTGATCAAATGCCAGAGGCATCTTAGCCTTAAATGAGTTTCTTTCTAATTCCTTTTCTCACAGCCTTCAAATCTTATGCTAGTGTTAATTTGCTTAAAATGCTTTTATTGAGCAGTTTGTGCTTTTAAAAATAAATGTTACTTGTTATTATGTTTATTATTTAAACATTGTATCCATTATAAACTGTATTATGCACACATACTTAAACACACATATAGCCTAGATATATAATCAAGTTCAGAAGAATATATGCTAATGTACATTATGCCTCCTTAAAATAGAACTCAGAATTCTAACTTTTATGCTTACCTGATTTAATCTGCTCTGGACACCAAAAACTACAATACTTAGCTTGGTCCAGATACTAATCTAAGTTTATGTGAAGGATACTCTTACCAGAGACTAAACAGAGATGACTGAAGTGTTTGTTGAAAATATTGAGCCCACACTCTGCAATAACTTCTTACAATAAATTCCCTAACTACTCTCATTGCCTTAATTACTATTTATATTCTGACACCCCAGATTTCTTTCCTAAGCTTCAGGTACATATATCCACTGGACATTTTCAGTTGGATTTTCTCAGTCTTAAACCAAACTCACGTCCCCCTACCTCACCTCATCCTCAACCATCCTTCCAGAACAACACCCACTCAATGGCCTACTCCAGATCGCAGGACATTTATTTGTTTCCTCTTTCTTCCTCAATCCCCCATCTCATGTTTAATTTATCGCTAAGCTCTCTATATTATTTTCCCTAATTACTCCTGGAATATGTCCACCCTCTCCATCCCCATGGCTATCCTGGCCCTGGATATCCCTCACCTGAATTCCACAATAGCCTTTTCTAGACTATGTCCATCCAAATCACTGTGGATTATACAAAGGACACAAAAGCAGATGTGTAACATTGATGCAACTTTTTAAGTAACATTTAAGTAACTTTTAAGTAACTAACATTTAGAATGTTCTACTGGGCAAGGTACATATAGAGGCGATAAGCAATCTATGCCTTCAGACCTCGTTGAGGATAGATCTGACATGAGCATCAGTTAAGATGGCCTCCGTCAAGCGTAGTATGCATTTGCTATACTTTCATTCCCTCCATCTCTGCCCCTCATCCTCCCCATTCCCTGGGGTTTTGGAACGTAGCTTTTCCACTGACCAGCAAACCTTGGAATGACTATACTTTCAGGTACTCATTTTTTCCACATTCAGTTTTTATTGAAATTAACTTTGCTTCTAAATTCAGCATCAGTACTAAGTTTTATTTGAGTCTGAATATACCTTTCCTTGATAATTGGTACTGATGTCAAGTAAAAATAGACTTATTACCTAGTTGGTACCTTACTCAGACTACATAAACTGCTTATTAGGGTTAGCAACCTATTTTGGGGCAATTTTCCACCAATATATTTTTATCCAAGCTTATTGGAGTCTAAATACACTTTGACATGGTAGGACAATATGGAAACCACAGCAGATAATTAATGACATTATACAGTTTAGAAAGCGTTTTTAAAATATTTTAAAAACTATAAAACAGAAACAACAAAAATCACCTCTTTGTTACTCAATACAACTGCTGGTACCTAAGGTGAACAGATATTTCAAGAATAGTGAGGATTTAAANCACAACAATTTAAAAATTATTCGAGGGTCAGCCAAGTGGCTCAGTTGATTAAGAGTTAGCTTAAGAGTGTGAGCTCTGAGCAACAGGGCCATTGGTTCGATTCCCAGATGGGCCAGTGACGCTGCGCCTGAGCTGAGCTGCTGCTGAGCTGCCACAGGTGGCAGGATGGTTCAGCTGGTGAGAGCACATGCTCCTAAGAACAAGACTGCCTGTTCGATGGTGGGCTACACCCACCCACAGCTAAGACTGTACTCGGCACCTTGAGCTGAGCTGCCACCCGGATGGCTCAGTGGATAGAGCGCTCACTCTTAACAATAAGGCTGCCAGTTAAACTCTCGCGTGGGATGGTGGCTATGCCCACCTGCAACTAAGACTGACCTCGGCACCTTCAGCTGAGCTGCCACCCGGATGACTCAGTGGATAGAGCACACACTCTTAACAGCAAGGCTGCTAGTTCGACTCCTGCATAAAATGGTGGCTATGCCCACCTGCAACTGAGATTGTAACACAGCACCTTGAGCTTAGAAACCACGAGCTGCAGACGGGCAGCCAGATGGCGACTGGCGCCCTCCACAACTAAGATTGGAGAACAACAACTTGGCTGGTCCCCCTCCCCAATTCCCCAACACTTTTCCCCTCCCCCAATTCCCCAATTTTAAAAAAAAGTTATTCGAGAGCCATAAAGCAAATGAAATCACCATTATGTGAATAATATCCTTTAAAAATTTTATAAATGAAACTATGATGGTTTTATTTTCATTTTCAATTTTACTTCAGAGCCACATGTACGTGCCCAAAGAGCCACATCCACATGTGGCTCGCGAGCTGCAGTTTGCCGACCCCTGATCTAATAGAAAAGACAGGTATTTTTAAAAAGCTATAATACAATGTGGTTCATGCAAAGATAGCATATGTTGACAAGGGTCAGAACTGCGTCCTAAAAGGAAAGGAGGACTTAGCCAGGCTGGCAGTCTCAGCCTGAGAGGAGGAACCATGAACAGACTTTGGTTGTATCTTTAATGGAAAGACACAACAGCTGAGGTTACTATTGTTATTATTTCCAGCGGTTCTCAACCTTCCTAATGCCGCGACCCCTTAATACAGTTCCTCATGTGTAGTGACCCCCAACCATACAATTATTTTCGTTGCTACTCTATAACTGTAATTTTGCTACTGTTATGAATCATAATGTAAATATCCTTTTGTTTTCCGATGGTCTTAGGCGACCCCTGTGAAAGGGTCGTTAGACCCCCAAAAGGGTCGCGACCCACAGGTTGAGAACCGCTGATTTACACAATACTGAATGCCAGCAGAGAACAGATGGAAAATGTTGATTCTATCAAATCTTTGGTGGATGAGAAATACACATTTACTGAGAAACTATTTTACAGATACAGTAAGTCCTCACTTAACATGGGTAGGTTCTTGGAAACTGACTTTAAGCAAACCAATGTATAACGAAACCAATTTTTACCACAGGCTAATTGATATAAACAAGAGTTAAGTTCCTATGACATATTTCTGGTCACAAAAACATTACTAAACTTTTACATAATGACCCAAAACACCAAAAATAAATGTGAGCTATACATACATTTAAGAAAGATTACAAAAACAAGTAAGAGCATTCTTTTCCACCCCACTTATTCCAGTGCAGGGCCCCAGCTGGCCATCCCAGCAGCTCAGGGTGCAGGCAGGCCCCACCCGGAACAGGACGCCTTCCATCACAGGGCGCATCACACACACCCACACTCACTCAGACTGGGACAGTGTAGACATGACATTTTACCTCATATGTACATCTCTAGGATGTGGGAGGAAACTGCAGTCCCCGAAGAAAACTCACACAGACATGGGGAGAGAGTGCACATCCCACAGGACAGTGACCACAGCTGGAATCAGTTTTTTTTCTCATTAGCATTATAAGGAAATGACATTGAACAAAATAATGTTATTCGAGAACCCATTGTATACTTTTATGTGTTATCTGATTTAATCACCTGGATATCCTGTGG